TAGGCACTTTATATATATATATATAGATATACACACACACACACACACACACACACACACACACACACACACACATATACACACACACGCGTTTATGGTCCCCAGATCACATGATAATTGTTTATTCTGTTTTGATTCTCATCATCAGAGAGAAAAAGGGACAGCGTGCAGATCTGGAAGACTGAAATTGCAGGACTCATTCATTGCATTAATCATGTGTGACAGTAACTGTTTTTTTCCCTACTGGTAGTGCTTGTATTAGCTCGTTGCAAGATTAAAAAAAGAATTGATCATAATTCTGAATCAAATTTTTCCCTACTCTAAGTGGCATATTTTATTAGTAAGAGAGATGACAAATTATAAGATGAAAATTAAACCTAGTTGATTGAATAATGATATGTAGCACCGCTGATATTTAGTACTGGCCTAAGTGGTAATTAGATGTCATTACATAATAAATTCATTTAAATGTAAAATCAAAACATCCATGTGATCACCTAAATTAGTGTTTTAGCACCACTGGTGCAGCATTATTCTACTTGATTACACTCTCCCAAAATCACGTGCTGACTGTAATATATATCCAAATGTTTCCAGGTCATATTTTACTCTTTCTCAAATAATTTCGTCTATAAATATGTATTGATGATAATATTCAAGTAACATAAGAACTTTGTTATTTGAGTAGTTCTTATCTGGGCAATAATAATGAAGGTTGAAGTAGTTGTAGTTTCCAAGGAAATCATCAAGCCATCTTCTCCAACTCCTGACTTGCTTCGAAAATACCAGCTTTCATATATTGATCAAATAGCCCCTCCTCTTTTTATGCCTTACATTTATTTCTATCCCGCAGATGGAAGAAGCAGCAACTGGGAGAGATCAAACCGGATGAAAGAGTCGCTACCAGAGGCCTTGACACGATTTTATCCTCTGGCAGGAAAGCTGGTGGACCGTCTCTATGTTGACTGCAATGATGTTGGAGTTGAGTTCTTCCAGGCTAAAGCAGAGGTAAAGCTGTCCGAAATTCTTTCAAATCCAATCCCTGGCGAACTCAACAAATTTCTTCCTCATGACCCGAATGATTTTAGAGATTTTTGCACGGCTGTTCAAGTCAGCTTCCTGACTTGTGGCGGAATGGCTGTTGGTTTTGTGGTTTCTCACAAGATTGCAGATGCCGTATCCATGGGCATGTTTATAAACAGCTGGGCAGCCATTACTCGTGGGGATAGTGATATTCCATATCCTAAGTTTGAGGGTGCAACTCTTTTCCCACCAAGAAATCTTGGCTCTCAATCAGATCTGGTGATTAAGGAAAGACCTGTAACTAAGTTATTTGTGTTTTCTAAGTCTAAGATTGATGCCCTAAAAGACAAGTATGCCAAAATAAATGGTGGAAGGCTGCGTCCCACGAGGATTGAGGCACTCTCAACTTTCGTATGGAGCCGTTTCATGGCTTCCACTCAAGCAAAATCCAATGACAACAAGATTTACTCATTAATAGAACCCATAATCAACCTCCGTCCAAGATTTGAGCCACCATTAACCAATTATTATTTTGGGAATATTTGGTGGCCAATAGGGGCTACATTAACGATGACGGATAAAGATTATGAGAAAGAAAGTTTTAAACTTGTGGGCAAAATTAGAGAAGCCATAACTAGTGTGAATCGTGATTATGTGGCAAAACTTCGAGAGGGTCTCATCCCAAAACTGGACATTATAGATGAGCACCTGGTTAGATTTGGGTTCACCAGTTTGTGCAGGTTTCCCTTATATGACGTAGACTTTGGATGGGGTAAGCCAATATGAGTGTCATCAGCTAACTGGGGAATCGGTAATGTAATTTCTTTATTCGATACGCAATCTGGCAACGGAGTTGAGGTCTGGGTTAACTTGAACAAGGAAGAGATGGCTAAATTTGAAGCAGATGTGGAGTTGCAAGAATTTCTTTCCCCAACTCCATGATGCTCCAACTTTTATGTGTTCGTCATTTTTTTTTCGAGTGTGAAAGTTCTTCGTTCGAAAAAAAAATAAGAATATTTTTATTGGTGGTGTGGGGTTGCAAGTAGTTTGATTTTAATGTTCTTAGAGAATGTGGGGATGTCTCTAATGATTTTGTTTCTTCCAATAAAAAGGGTTTTTGGAGCATGTTCATGAAGCTTAAAAGACCCTTAAATGGAGTACTTTTATGTAATTTGTAAATTTGTTTAATTATCAAATATGTCTTCACATGATATGTTATTGTTAACTTTTCGCCAATCCGTATTTGTGCGATTCATGAATCAATATGTTAAAGGTAGAATTGAAAGTTGAAACTCATAAATATTCATGAATCCATATGTTAATGGTCGCAAACTGCCGTGGAAGAAAGATGATTTTACACCTCACACATTATTAAACTAGTATAAATTTATTTTACAACTAGCTTAATTCTCTATATTATCCTTCCAAGTTCGTGAGATCAATTTGTTCTCCAAAATATGGCCAACTAGGTTACGTGTCCATTGATTAGAGGGTGTAATTAATAATCGAACCAAGTAATGCTAGTTGTGGACCCATTATTTAATTTTCAGACATAAGCCCGCTTGCAATTGATCCCAAACGATTTTTAGGGATGGTCGCACTACACTGCTAGGGAGTTAGTAACATGGGAAATCCAGGTTGATGTGGCAATTATGGAAAAAAAAAAGGAAAAATCAAAACAAAAGGTTGAAAATGGGTTTCAATTTGCGTCAAACTCATTTTCATCATTCTCCCAAAATTTGAAAAACGCGACTACAGCCGAAACCCTACTCCGTCCAATCGAATGGTTCATCACGGAGTGCCTCACCATCTCTGACCACTCACAGTCGAAGGGTTCATCGCCTTATATTTTGCACCACCCCACCACGCCTTGCTTCATATTTCTCTCTCCTCCCCCCACATTTGTTTTGCATTCTCTCTCACCACTGGCCACTGATTCTCTGATTTCGGAGGATGTACTGGGCCCCCCTAATTCCTTTTCATTTCTTAGCTTGAAAACTCCGAAAAGTTCAAGATTAGCCCTGAAATTGTTGAAGATCAAAACACTTTTGTTTATTACTCTATAATGTGTGTGTAAATGCAATGGGGAAATACTGTTGTTTTAAATCTTTAAAAAAAGTTGTTCATTTGCAAGTTTAGATTTGATTCCATCGTCCTATTTTGTCCAACAGCCTACAGTAAGTAACCAACATGTTTGTTCGGTGTGAATTACTGGTTTTGCTATTGTTTCAAAATTAATTCCAGTTTGAATCTCTAGTGTTTGGTGTTTGTTTGCTATTGTTTGGTGCCTGTATGTTTTAGTTGTGATGTGGTTGCATATGTAGTTTCTCCCTTGTAGCTTCTGATACTTCACTTTGTTTGTAGTTAGTTTAGAATGGTCGGAAGGAACTCCAAAATTTGTCATAGTTGTAGAGCTAGGACCCACTTCTTCAACGACTACCCAAGGATGCTCATCATGTAAGCGCGGATATGAGAAATGTTTTGTGGTGGAGAATGAGACAGTCAACAAAAGGGACATTATTTGTTTGCTGCAGCAATAATTGTGAATTTTGGGAATCGGTTGTTAAACCAAAATCAAGTAGCGCATCTATAGTGTTAGAGATACATTTGTTGACCCTGTAATGAACAAAACAGTTGATGAAATGGCCCATGGTCTTGAATCTCAAATTCGATTGACTAACCAAAAAGACCTTAAGATTTCGGTCAACGAACAATCCGAATGGACAAAGTAAGCATTGTACGGAATGCAAAAGGGAATCTGCCTTCTTGATTAGTAGATATTGTTCAAAACTTTTGTTGCAGATTAGACAATTACAAACTATATCTGTGTATGGAACTTGAATTTTCACCATTTTGTTGTAATGGAGATGGTTATATCTAATGTAGTATTGAGTTCTCTATTATCTCAAATCTCTACTTAACTAGCCATTTAGCTATGTATTTTGTTGATTGTGAATGCATATGCAAATTGAATTATCCATTTTGAGAACAAGCAGCATAGAATGGTAAATCCAGTTCTCACACTATCATGAAAACAACAAATGGAATGTGTAAGCATTTTCATTCACCAAACCTGTCTTTAACTATTTTTACAGGGTCTTGGACATAATTGTGAAAAACTTAAAAAAAA